GTAAGCCATCCATTAATGGATCCCAATCATCCAAAAGGCACTTAGTACCTGACCATTTTTCTTGAAGTTTTGGGGGTGGTGGTATTTTATTGATTTATTTTTACAAGAACTGCTTGCCTTGTACCTCCCTTGGAAGCAGCTTGTTCCAGATACTTGACATTTGGAGGTCAGGATGGATATGGGTCTTATGATCTCTTCTCATCCCTCAGAGAAAAATGCACAACAAATTAAAATGACATTGCATTTTCAATTCTTTCACTGGAAATAAACCCCATATTTTCTGGGGTAAAAAAAAAAAAAAAAATCAGCCATTTAAAACTAGCTGAGAAGAAGCAATCCTAAATTTCTGATTTATTTCTTTTAGGACCCCTTTCAGCCAGCTCCGGTTTGGAGCACATCAAGAAAAACCTGGCTATTTCAGAGCTGAGCAAAACACTGCACAGCAGTGCCCTTCAACTCCAGAAAGAAGCCCCTGCCAAAGCTTACGAGCAACATTTGGATCTGATAAAGTTACAGGTGCGCTCCTTGACCGCTGCGTTTCTGGGAGCGCGCTCGTGCTTCCCTTTGCTCTCACACAAGGGGGGGGAAAATCCCCGGTATTGGGGGGAATGTGCATGAAAATCACATGAAAAAAGCCAGGAGGAGCAGAAGGCAGAAAGGGAAGGAGCCTCTCTCATGCCACACAGGCTTTAAAGCTATTTATTTCTAGCCTGCAGTTTGCTGCTAGGGCCTCTCGTCCATAGCTTTTAAGGCTACTACTGCTGAGGTCTCATCTCCTCTCAGGTTTAAGTGATGGTACGCCAAATCTGGGTCTCACCAACACACCACCGTGGAGTATAAGCAAGTCCATTATATACCTGTCTTACACAGAGTTACCAAATTTATAGGCTGTCCACAAAGTTTTCTTTTATCCCAGTAATTGCCTTTTCTAAAATTCTCCAGGCAAGGGCAATAATTCAAATAACCTTGGTTTCCCACTAACCTAAATGTTAATCCTAGGCTGGCTCCTATGATTCAGAGAATCTCTTCCAAACTTGCAGGTGTTAAGTATGATGCTGTTTAAGAAACTCTGCCTGTCTGAACCAGAGGTGCATGGGCAAGAGTGTACCAGCACACGGGGCACAGAGAGCCCCCCCGTGCCTAAATTTGGCCATGCACAGAAGCATCATTTCATTTTTTTGTCATCGTTCTTTGCTACTTCAACACTGTGGTCATGACCATCTGCTATGAATAAGTGACCACGCAGGTGTGTGATTTTCTTGGCCACCATACAAAACAAAGACCATCCAAGGAAACTCAAAGCTGATCAAGGGAAAGCCAAGAGGGGAGAAAAAAAAGACGAGTTTGTGCTAAGCTATGGATTTAAGGAGCTTGGTTCTCCCCATGCAGACTCCTAATGGGACACATAGGCAGATCCAGGGAGATGATGACAATTTATACCAACTGAGGAGCTGTCTCTCAATGCCAATATCACAATAAAACTTCACTTTTCTCCTGCCTGTTCTTAGTCTTGACTATTTGTGCTGCAAGTTTTTTGAGGCAGAAGATTCTGATTTCCAGACCCATTTAGTGCTGTGGGATCACAAACGCAGCATGAGCTTCCAGGCAATACTGCAAGACAAGTAATAAAATATTTATCCTCCACTGCCTTCTATGCTTGTATGCTCTGCAAAGGAAGCCATCAAAACTGGAGCCACCAATTTACAGTTGGAGTCTTCAAAAGGAACAAGACCGAGCTGTTATATCTCCCTCAAAAACAAATGTTTTCACACCCTGACACATAGCAAAACATTTTCATTTGTTACATAATAATAATAAAAAAAAAATCAAACTTCCAACTGAAAGGAAAAAAAAAATATAGATGATAACAAAGCTTACATGGCTTAGAATCATAGAATTGTTTAGGTTGGAAAAGACCTTTGAGATCATCGAGTCCAACTGTCTTAGAAGACAGGAGGGCCTTTTCATGACATTAAGCAAGCTGCAACCTATACAGGACATACGATGCTCAGAGCTGGGTCCCAAACCCACCTTCAGGGAACGTGAAGCTTCATGAAAGCCTCAGCATCTGGAGTCACAGCCTAGGTCCTGGGGGGGTGAAAGCAGCACATTCCCACTCACGGCAGCAATCCCCACTCACCTTTCTTCCCTTCAACCGCTAAATGTGAAGCTGGTAAATTCCTACACCTAATTTCACACATTTTTTCAGAGCGCTACAGAAGCTACAGACATTTTTTGACATGACACCCTGATCTTTGGCAATGCAACTATTCTTTCTTTCTCACTGGAAAAGCTTCCTTGATGTGCAAAGCCCTGCAAACCCGTACGGCCTGAACTCATCGAGTCTCCAATGCTACCGAGCCTGTGGGGTTATCAGTACTAAAACAAGGCTTTCCTCCACTCTTACCGTTAACTACATCAAAGCTAACACTCCAGGAAAGATCAGCACATCCCTCTTCAAGCATTTAACAGGGAAGTTGCTCTACTCATAACCTGTAACAGCAGCAAGGAAACCAGCCCCGTGTGATGCACTGCTCCCTTGCAGCTACAAGAGGAGGAAAGGACCGAGCGCCCACACTTACTGGCTGGCGGAGGGAGCTGGTTCCTGCTGTGCTGGTGGTGCCAGCGGAGAAGGTGGCAGAGCTTCTCCAGCAGCAGTACGTGAAGCCCGAAGACCAGAAACCCCTGGAATGACGTGTTCTGCAGAGCATCTCCTCCTCTGCCAGGCCACGATAGCAGCTATTGCCATCTAGCACTGATGCCAGCCCTGCCGCTGCCTTTTTCCAGAAATACCAAGGCACAACCCATCCCTGCACCCCAGAGCCCTCTGCACGTCCTCTCACCAGGCCCCTGCACAGCACGGTGCCTTCCTCCAGCAGCGGGCAAACACAACCAAAATTGTTCCAGAGGATGTTCAGATGCAAAGCACTGCCGGAGCTAAAGGGGCAGGACGGTGGTGGCAGGGGAAGGGGACAGCTGCTGCTGCAGACTTAGTTGGCTGAAAGCAAAGCTGTGGGGCACCTCCCCAATACTGCTAGACCAGGGGAGAAGCTGCTTGTATTTCTGGCCCATCACACCCCAGTTTTGGGGACGAGCAGGGACTGCGGTGCCAGGGAGGCAAACACTCGCCACCTCCAAGTCATCCAGCTTCAACCAGCACAGCTCCTCGGTGAGGTACACAGCCAAGGAACCTTCCCCATCCTCCCTTCTTGGACCTCCTGACTGCTGGCTTATTTTAAGAAGGGAACTAAATTGTTTAGGAGCTAACAAAGAAGTTAACCCAGGAATTTCTGCCCATTAATCACTTCATGCCGTGCTCTGGGGTTTTCTTTTGTTCAAGCAACAGAGAAATGCAGGGCTGGGCAATCCCCATCTCGGGAGGGAAGACAGCCCGCAATATTTTGATGCGATGGGACTTTATGAAATACAAGATTTTACAGTAATAACATTATGGTTGTGTATCAAACTGTAACAGGGGATAACACAGCACCATGCGGCTTGCCAGCGGTGGATCAGCAACATGGAGTGTGTGAAGTTTGCACAACAGCAGTAGCTGCCAAGGTCAAGGATGCTACAAGCACAGGGAGAGCTCTCTGGAGCCACTGGTCCCAGGGAACCCAGGGGAAGCTTCAGCACAGAGCCACATCCCCACAACAGATTCGGACTCTTTGGAAACCAAAGGCAAAAGGCAATGGAAGGAAGGAGCCCTGGAAGGAGCATTTCCAATACAGAATGACTGACTTGAGGTGACTCGGAGCTGGCCACACAAGCATAACTTCCCTCTTGCCTCTACTGAGATAATTAAGGTTAAAAACACTTGGTAAAAGACCTGCGACCTTGAAAAATGAATACGCTTTCCGCAGTGCGCCAGGATTGCTCTTTTCTTCATCTCAGCAGAAAGCCTCCTTTGCTTCCCTTTGTAAGAAAACTGGAAGAGCCAAAGCTGCAGCTGGCCAGACCACGAGATGGGACAGAGGGTCCCCCCACAACTTGGTAATGCCAGGGCACCAAGCGCTGGCAAGCGGAACGGTGCTCAAAAGCATCGAGTGTGCCCACGGCAAGCACGGAGAGGAGTTCCTTGTGTCTCAAGCTTTTATTGCACAGAAGAAGAAATAAATAGTCTAAAGGCTGAAACAATCAGAGGTAAAAGGAAGAGAAAGGCAGTGATTTCCCCATCCCTGTAGCATCAGAACTGATTTGCGGTGCTGGGGCTTGCCTCTACCCAGAGCCCTCCCTCGTGCCTCTGCGGGTCTCTGCCAGGACTGCTGCCTGCAGGCAGGACAGTGCTCCACAGAGGGGTTTCTCCCTGGGGAGCAGAAGCGACGGTGAGGGGGGTGTCCATGTAAGACCTCACCCCACGCCACAGCCACTGCCCACCAACCCTAAGGTCTGCGTGGGAAATCCTGCAGCACCCCTGGCTGAACCTCCTGCATCCCAAATCATGGCAGTGGGAGAAAAGGCTCCTTGTGGGAGCTCACTATGGGATGGGCTTTAAGCAAAATAAGCAAAAATGAGGCTAAACATATTTTGTCCCGGCACTTCTGAATCACCTGTCCCTTCAGCCAGGAGATGCTCTGTTTGGACCCAGCTATGTTGTCAGGTGTCACGTCAGAAAGGATGTGGGAAATCACTATGAACAGCTTCTAAGACATCATTTCACAGTTTTACAGTAGAGGTCATTATACTGCATTACTCCATTTAAATGTGCGATCCCAGTTGTGAATATATTTCATAATCTTCTTGCACTTGCCACTGATTCTGGCCTATTGTCTAATGCCTTAAAGTACTTTCTAAAACCTTGGTAATTGAAATGCTGAGGTAGAAAATTACTGTATTACAAGCAGGCAAATTCGTGCCGAGAGAAGTGAATTGACCTGGAAGGTCGCATCCATCTGTGGCACAGATGGGAGCGGGGCGCTGGCTCCTGCTGCCGAGGTCACCGCTCCCAGGCACAAAGCATCCCTAGTCACCCAGAGGACATTTGAAATGGGGTGTTGTAAGCTTTTATAGCGCCAACGGTCTTTAGAGCTCAATAACGCTTGTAATTGAATTCTCTGAAAAGATTATATTGTCCTCACTAACTCATTACTTCCCTGGACTGGCCCTTTCATTTGCGTTTTTTTCCCCCATTTTGGGTAAGACTTGAAACCCAGCAATGTTGTAGTTTGCATAAACAAACAAGCCTCGAATATATAAATAACTATTCACATCCTTTTCGCATATATTCAAGTATTTCACAAGGCACTGTGGCAGCCATCAGCATTTCTAAATGCTTTTTGAAGCGATGGCTTGATTTTTTTTGTGTGTCCTTTACTGGAATTGATTCCCAAACTCCTCTCTGCTGATAAGCGAGGACTGGTGATAGCGGTCCCGCGAGGCAAAGTCTGCGTTCTCCTCCGTGAGCTGCGTGGTCTCCATGCCAACTGTTGCAAAGGACGGTGTCACCACGATCTGCTCCTTGGGAGATGGCCTTCTCCTGCAAACAGAAAAGCAGAGGCAGCTGCATCGCCCCTTGTCTGCCATCCATTAGCAGCTGTGCTCTCGGCTGCGCAAACAAGACAGGGTGCTTCGAGAAGAGGCTAAATCCTTCTTGGCACCCTTAGGAGGCATAGAGGTAATCTGAAAGCATTTTTCTTAGAAGGTGCACAAAAAATACACTCCCTTCCCCCAGACAACACTGGAAAATATGCATTTTCTTAACAAATAAGTTTCCTCTTTGGACGTTGGCTATGGCAAGCACTTTCCACACCGTGCAGGAGAAGGAGCGTGAGCCATTTCTAATGAAAAATACCCTTCCTAGAGTTTCCTAAGCTCTAGTGTACAAATATTTTTGTAACTCTTTTAAACGAAAGAGATTTTCCTGTAATCTCTTTATCCTAGAGGCTGATTTTAAGAAAACCTTAATGCACATCTGCAAATCAAAACTGTAAGAGCTTATAACACCAACTCAGACCTCACTGAGCACCTAAGAGCCTTAGAGGTGTCAAAGATCCTTGGTTGCCTCCAACTCTCTTGCAGTCTAATAGGATTTCTTCTTTACCTCCAATTCATTAAAATACCTGGCCTGGATTTCAAGGAAACAAAGCCTAGGAAAAACTTGTAAATGACTTCAATAAAATGCAATTTTTTGCAGTGTAGCAACGGTGGGCTTCAAAATGACCCAAGCAGAGCCAAAACTGTCTTTGTGCCAACATGAGCAGGAGCCCTAGCATTAGGTTAAGGCAACCAAGCTGGCTGGCTGACCCAGAGATCGCACTCTTTTAGGAGAGAGAAATAGGACCAGTTTCTGCCTTGGGCACTCGCCAGCTCCCCACTCAGCCCTCCTCGGCAGGGTCTTTGCTCATCAATTGCACTGATCGAAGCACTAAGGACTCTGTCGGTCTGGTAACCTAAGAGAGGCCCGTCACCCCCAGCTTCTCTCCCAAGCCACCTCTGCTACCAAAAAGGCCTGTGGCCATTTTATAGGGACTGTGGGCAGAGGCAGGAGCTGGGAAGACAGGCATAGACATCTGCCAATGTGTTTAAATGCCTGGACTTTCATTTCTTTTAAAGGAGCCACCAAATTTGCACATATAACGCATGGCAGCTCGTGTCGTGCAGTCCTTACCACGGCGTTCACCCACTGCAATGAAAAAGCAACCCAACGGATTGAGAACCTCAAATCCCATTGCACTGCACAGAGGCAGAGATGGTCACAACCTGCTATGGGAAACCCAAACATGATGGCATTAATAATTAATAGGATCAAAACAGATTAACAAAACTAGTTAATAACCAACCAACCAAAACCCTTAAGGTCTTCTGGGAAGGAAAAGCCCAAGACAACACTACTGCAGTCCCATGCAAACTCAATACTGAACGGTTCCTTCACCGAAGACTTTGTTTATTGTACTTGCCCCGTAGCTATTGCAGCTTCCCCCCAAATTTCCTCTTTGAAACTCGAGCACAGCTGCCACGCGTGCCTGTTCCACCACTACCATAGTAATTCGCTTTCACTGGATGGTGGGTGGAAGGGATGGAGTCTCCCATTTCTCATCTCCTACCAGATTTTCCAGTTCAATCTGAGCCATAAAGGTTGAGCACAGACCTTTGGGGTAAGACAAAGCTTCAGGCACCAAGATACGGTTATCAGCTTGACATGTCCACACACAAGGCAGAGGACACTCCTGCTCCCCCACTTATGTGGCCAGCCATAAGCCAGGCTAACGGGAGCAAACAGTTATTTTTAGCATTAAGTAAGAATAACTTTGAGCATGCTAGAAGGGCCAGACAGGCTGCTTAAGGTAATAAGCAAGTCAATTCTTCCACCCCTCTCTGTGCACATTAGTGGGTCACGGGAACAACAAGCAGCGCGTCGGTCACTGCCAAGTGACTGGTACCAACCTGCACGAGGTGATCAAAACCGACTTAATCCAGCCAAAGAAACTGAAATTCGCTGCTGCTCCTACAGAGAAAAGGCATGAGAAGTCAGTACGCTGCTAATTCTCTCATAATAGCATTACACCATTGAATTTTTGCATAAAATCTCAAACCAACATGCTTGTTATTAGCCTTCAGTATCCAAAGATTTCGTGATGGTGAGAACACTCCTGCAGTCTTCCCACACGCTGTGGCTTTTAAACGATTGTCAAGAAATGAGCCCAAATTTCCCATGGAGAACAGCGATCCTTTCCCCGACCAACAGCTTGTTAAACCCCAGTGAAGCCATGAGCAAAGTACAAACACCCACTCCAGTACCTTTTCCTCCCTGGACTGCAAAGATCATTCCCACTGCAGGGATGGGGAGGTGGGAGAAGCCATTCAGCCAACCTCAGCCAAGGTGGCTGCGGTCTCACCATTCATTCCCTTTTGTCTGACCCCATGGAGAGCTGGCTTAGCTTATTACACCAACACTATTTTTTTCTGATTTCTCTGTAGAGTTAGTTTCCTGCACTGGCTCACTGCAGGGGCAGAGAACTGCTGGAGCTGGCAGCAAAAGCAGCAGGAGAAGTTTGTGGTGAGGGACAGGGAGGAGAACAGAGACCCGGCAGCACCTGCTGGATTTGGCTTAGGCTGTTGGGAAGGAAGAGAGAGGAGAAGGGACATGTGGAAATCCCACAGCAGTTCTGCTCCCAAGGTCTTCATCTAGTCCGTAATCCAGAGCATCTCTCAAGCCAGTGTCTCCCAACCTTTCTAGACAGAAGGATCGTTCAGTCCTTTGGAGAACAAACTCACAGATCATTAGATGCCATGCGACCACAAAATAACGTTCACTCACAGCCAAATAAAAATCAGGCTGAACTTGGAGTGTTCCATTTCTAACTTTTTCTTTGCCGTGCATTGTTTTACTGTATGCATGCCAATGCACGTGCAAAAGAAACCAAGAAAAAAAAAGTCTAGTCATGCTGCTGTTTCTCAGATCACTTTCCCAAATCCTCTACACACTGAGAAATTCTTTTTAAAGTAATTTCTAAATATTTCAAAAGCAGATAACAGAGATATAATATAGTGAACATACAAAGGCAAAGAAAACTCCAAAGCCTGAAAACGTTGCTTGTGTTTAGTTTAATATATGAGGGCCGTAAAAAACTTTGTTAAAACTTAGATATATTTCAAAAGATACAAATTACCAAGTACTATCCCCAATATCAGCTCTTTTCTACTATCCCATAAAGATACATAGAAAAGAAGTCACTGAAGAGTAGGAAGAGAAGAATTGCTGAGCAATGTTTTGATGGTTACGGAGTGACAACTAGTTTTTGGTTTCTCATTGTCTGGGTTTCTGAAAACTAGTACCTACTTACCTAGCGTCTAATAATCTTTCATCTAAATAAACCCAGGTAGCTCTTTCTGCATTGCCTAAAAGACATATGAACTGAGACTCTTTTGACTTTTCTCATCTCGGGCAAAAAATTGCACATCCATGTGTGCAGGTATGCATGCATGCACGCACCTACGTATGGATGTACGCGAGTACGCGCACACTGCGTGCGTATCACCCTCTCCCTTCAGAGACACAGACCAATGCAAACCCCTCCTGCGGCCGTGCCAAGGAGCTGTAGGCTCTCATGAGCTGCTTTCTGAATGTGCTTCACTGTTTAATTTTGAACTTGTTTAAGCCGATCACATGCACAGACCTTTCTAATGCCCTCTGCCTAAAAGTATTTTCCCAGATTACTTTCCCAACATATTCAACCTGTTTAGTTCTGGAATCAAAAGGCTCTCTTGTTCCACAGTTATAAATGCTGAGATTTAATGAGATACTCATCATAATTCCCATTTTCCTTAAAGTTTTCTCAGGTGGGTTTAGATTGATTAATTTAGTTTATTAAAACCTATTTATGGCAGATTTTTCTCATTGCTGTGATACATTTACAATCTGCCACCCCTGTTAAGTCTTAGTATTAGTATCTGGTTTTGCTATTTAAAGTACAATGTAATAAAGCAATAAGCACAATGTTCAAACTATCAAACCAATGCTAGTTACAGTTAGAATCCAAAATAAAATTAAGGAGTCAGAGAGAAAATGTATTAAAACTAGCAATGAAACAAAACCTCATCATTCATGGTGTCACCTGCATATTAAACACAAGAGTCTCAATTCTTAATTAAGATAAATTAAAGCTTAATGAATTTTTAAGCAGATTTAATAATACAGAAAAAAAAAATACTCACCAAGGGGGAGTCCTGGGCTCACTTGGCTGATGTAGAAATACAGAATAACGGCTGCACCCAGGCTGACAAGAGTGTAGATCCACTGAATGACAAACATTATGACGAGGGACACGATCGCCTGTTGGAAAGACATGGTTTGGGGTTACCCCAGAGTCTGTAAGACAATACGAAGAAGACAATGTGACAGTTCTTTTTCTGCAAAGCCCAGCAGGTTCGTTGACCTCCTGCTCTGGCCCTGCGGGAGAGCTGGCAGCGCAGTGCCTGGGGAGGACTGCTCACCTGCAGACACAGCCCGACACCGGGTCAGCAGTTTGTTCCTCAACCTGGCAAGATGAGCACGTATTGCAACTCTAATGGAAACTCTTTAATAACAGAGGCAGTGCTGGGGCTTTCAAGTTGTTACAAAAGCATGAGTAAATGCTTTTTTTTTTGCCAGAAACACTGCATCTTGGTTTTAAATGCATGCAAAAACAGCGCTTTGATGGCATCTCCGTGCTTTGTCTTTCTCAGGGTCTTCTTGGGAGCATTGTGTAAGAGACATGCACAGTCAGGACCCAGGATGCAGCCACTCGGAATTATCCTGGTGAGTGTTTCCTTTTAGGCATCTCCCTCCTAACGATGTCCTGGGACTGGGACACAACAGAGGCTCTCCTTGGACAAGACCTGCTGCACAGCCCAGGTCCTGCCCCTGGAAGGAACGATGCCAGCTGCAACCACGTGGGTGGATGGATGCTCCTGGGCATCTTTGGCTGAGGCCAGTGGTGCAGCAGGACCCCTGGGGAACCATGTCATCTCCTGCCTGCAAAACACTCCATGGTGCATGACTGTTTGCCACACATAGACCATTTCCACCCAGCATTATCTGAAAAGATTTGGGTCTGGCATGGCTGAGGTTTCTTGGTTTATGAGGTTCCCATGTTACAGGGAGCTTCGTTTGGTCTCACTGTTAAAAGGCAGGACAGCAGAGGTCTACAGTGTCATCTTCAGCAGCATGGAGGCAGCTTTCAGTGAGCTACCTTCAGCCCTAGAGGCAGCGTGGGCCTTGGGTCTCTGCTTGGGCTACTCCAAGAGAAGTATCCCAAGGCTCACCAGCTCAGGAGGTAGATTTGGCTCAAGGGGCATATGAACGGGGGCAGGGGTAGCATCTTCACGGGTGAGGTTAGGAACAGCAAGGGGCAGCATGCAAAGAAAGAGCTAAATGAGTCCAGACTGACACAATCGGTGAAGCTCAGAGAGAAGGCAGAGGAAAAAGGAGCCAGGATGAATAAATGCATCTGATTTTTCTTCTGTGATTTTATTTTGCATCGTTGATCCCTTCTCAGCTCTGCTGCAACCTCCTCCCAAGTCTGATTATTGACAGGAAACCAAATCTGCTTTAATGAACATGTCAGTCATCTCCGCAAGCAAACTCCCTCGCGAAGGCAGAGCCCTGACCGCTCCGCGATGACACGCGCTTGGGAGCCACGTTAGTTACCGAGCCCAGAGACAGCATCAGTGCGCAACCTCCTAAAGATGTCATCGCTAGAGGAGCCTCCACATCCATCCCACCCCTGGTGCTGCAGGCCGGCAGGAGCCCTCGCCAGGAGCTGGCTGCTGGCAGCAGCAGTGAATTTGAAAAGTAGGTGTCAAACTCCATCTGAGGATTAAACTAGAAGGGTTCACTGTGTTGTTCGAGCCGGTTTGTTACATTTTACATGCATCTATGAAATTCCCATCCATGCAGCAAAGCCATATGGGTCATCTATTATGCATATCTGACCCTTTCCCTGTCATCTGCCCAAAAATCCATCTTCACAAGATGAATTTAAGCATCTTAAACTCCTCAGTGGCTTGAGACAGAAGCTATTTGAAAGTTATTTATTCTTTAAAGTAACGTGCCGGAGGAATGCTCCACTTTCCTCCCTCAAAAGATGGAATTTCACAGCCGGGCTGCTGGTATCAGGAGGTCAGCACTACTGAAACCCCACCCCGAGCTTGCAGAAACTGGCTCATAAATAAAAGCAACACAGCTTTGAAGCTGATGTCTCACTCCATCCCCTGGCAAGAAAAAGCAGGTTAGCAGATAGTGAAAAGAGGGACACTGATTTTTTCCCAGCCAGCCATGCATCTCTAAAGTCCTAAGATGCCAGACTTTGAATTTGTATCATTTTGGATTGGGTTGGGGTTTGGGTTTTTGCTGTTGTTGTTTTAATTAATATGTCATCTGGCTTTCTCTGAATTTGAATGGCTAGGTGCATGGTACCTTGAGTACTTAATTCAGGTGACCTGGAATACTAGAAACAAAAGCCATTTTAAAGCACTGGAGTGTATCTACACTGCAGCAAGTGAGGAATTTCCTTTTGTTTTCTATGATCACAAACCAGTGCTCAAAATAAAAGAAAATTACTTACACCAGCAAAGGAAACCCAGTGGTTGCAGAATTTGGAGTAGAAGGATTCTGGTATTTGCTGAATTCCCAGCTCTGGATTTTGTTGCTTTATAGATGAATCTACAGGGGAAAAAAAAAAAAAAAAAAAAAAAAAAAGAAGAGACATTAGAAAGGAGTTAAAGTGGATTTTTTTTCTCCTACTCTACATTACCACATTCCAGAAAAACAAAGCAGAAATTCTAGCTAACAGCAGGGTATGGCCGAGTTAAACCAAAACCTCTAAAATGAAAACAAAAAAGAAGTGCAAGAAGAAAAACAAGCTGCCAACTCTGGTGCTGAGTCCATTTGAAGGCCACATCTGCCTATCTCTGCCTCAGTTTCCCTATTTGCAAAGGAAGAGAAATAAAGCTTTTCTCCATTGGAAGGGTTTACGAAGCTTAACTGACTAACGCTGATAAAACACTACAGCACTGAGATGACAAACTACGAGCAAACACATGGTATCAAATACCCATATCACCAACAAAACAAATTCAGACTCTTAGCTGTGGATGTTGCACTACAGACTCCACCTGCGGCATGGGGACCACTGCATTTTGACAGCCTGTGTTTTAGACTTGCATGGCTCCATCCCTCCTGCCCCGCACCAGGATGAAGTAAATGCCAAGATATACTCAAAACCTTTTTAATGTACAGCGCTAAGAGTACATGTGTAGAATAACGAGTACCCCATAAACAACCCTACACTAAATATAGTCCTGCCTGTTTTCCTGTGATTAATCTTCCATAGGAAATTGCATTGGAACTTCTCCTGTGATACATTGCGATGAACTCTACCCTCACCTGATATTATTGCTATGAATCACTGAATGACAGCCCCGTATAAAGCTAGTTTCATGCCTGCCTTCAGGAAAGCACCGGGAGGACCGAGGTTATAAACCATTCCCCCGTGAGCATGGAGATGTCCATCTCCTACAGCCCTTACCTTCTCCCCTCTGGCCGGGGAGTGCCGGCACCTCGCTGCAGAGCTGCCCCCCCTGCTCCAGCAGCCCGGGTGTCTGCTGGGCATCCACAGCGGGTGACGAGCATGGACCCACGTCACGCCGACAGCCCTGCTCAGCCAGGTCCTGCCGGCTCTCGCTGTGGGGCTCCGCGGTCTCATCCCAGCTGTACTGAGCCAGGGGAGCATCGTGATGGAGATCCAGGAGAAAGCTGTCTTGTAACGTCTGCTTGGCTGGCTTCTTTGCCTTCTTTTGTTTGACCTTCTGGGTTAAATTCTCGGCTCCTTTTTTGCAAGTACCTTGCTCACTACGAAATGGTTTAAAAAGCTGGTCCATGTCTTTTGTGAATTCCAGCAAGGTGCCATTTGATCTGCTTTGAATTACTCCATCTGCTGCACGGCTGGAGGGCTTGTTGAAAATTAAAGGCTGGGAAGAGTGAGCAGGTCTAGTGTTTTCCATCTGGGTCTTGCCAGGTTTCTGCTGAACGTTGTAGCTCAAGGAGACCGAGAAATAGGAATAGTCTACAGCAATATATGTCAACATGAAGTTGATGGTGACTATGGGAGCAAGAACGTTCACTTGCCCAATGAAGATGAACGCCATGGTGATGAGACTTGTTAAGCAAATCGCAGCCACTGGAGTCTTGTTGGGTCCTTTCTAGTTCATAAATAAATCAAACTTACATTTAAATTAATAACCATGAGCCTCACCGTGAGGATTCCCCACTTGCTCAGCTGTCACGGGTGGTTACCTGGGCTGTCTGCAGTACCCCCTTAGTCCTGAAATACACGCATCCATGTGCAAGCAGAGGCTCACTGGCTTAATAAATTAAAGAACAGGCTGGAAGCCAAAAGATGCTGAGCTCCCACCTCACCTCTGAGCCTCACTCAAGCTTTGTCTTCGGAAAATTCATCCACTCTCACTCTCTATCTCCATGGTCATTAAAGCAGCAATAAACCTTCAGAGAGATTTGTGGGGCTTACGGGAAGTCTGGCAATAAAACATGTTAATTAGAGTTAACTGTTCATCTCTAATTTCTCTACAGCATTCTGCATCACTGCCTACCCAAAAGGCTCCCGCACGCTGCTGTTGGAAAGGCTTCGGCTGCCAGACGCAGTGAAGGAAGCTCTGCCCGCATGGAGCAGTGCCACCTTCACATCAGCAGCTTCTGGCCTTGCCCTGACACGAGGCTGAGCTAAATCCACGGTCTGCTGAGCCTCTGCACTTGGGGTTTCCCTCCTTTCATCCACCCAAGCTGCGGCAGGAGGAAAGCAGCAGAGAGGATAGGCAGCCGAGGGTGCTGGGGGGTGGGAGTCAGCCCCCAGTGATGCCGGGCACGTGTCGGGAAGGCAGGCGGCCAGGAGAAACACCGCCTGCTCTTCTTCTTTGGGGTGGAGTGAAGGCAGGGAGAGGAGGAGAAAAAGAGAGACAAAGCAAAGGGTATCAGGGGTGGAAAGACTTGAACCATCAGCTCATGAACTTTAATCCCAGGTCTAACACGCCCTTCCTTGGATCAGGCGCTGTCTTACCATTTCGGTACCCAAGAAGCCTATGCAGGCTGCGTGAAGACCTCACTGGAAAATGTCTTACAAGATATCTTACAAAATATCTTAGGTTTTCACTTATTGCATGTGCTTCTTTAATAAGCACACAGCTCAAATGGAAACTATTTCTATTTCCTCTACTCTTATTTATTAATAGAAAAGGGGACAAGTTCTGGACCTTATGCCTTTTCACAATGAAATAGAAATACGTCTTGGGGACAAAGGAACACGGTTCTCAGAAAGTATCTTCAGTATCAGAAAGGCGTACTGAGATGGGAACAGTTGGGACGATCTCAGGATACCTCTGGCTTGGGTTTAACTCTACAGAAAACAACCGTGTTTCCCATCAGCTGGGCTTATGGTGACTACACCACTTTCTTCAACCTTGCAAAAGAAGTACTGATGTGGAACAGAATGGTAAGGGCAAACTAAATTTATTAACTCTTCATAAACCAAATCTAGACAGTTTTCAAGGTAGCAGAGAGAAGGAAGGTGGAAAAGTGATCTGCCTTTGATTTCTCACCTCCTTTTGAGCCCTTCCCGTCATGGCGCTCTGCCTGGACAGAGTTCAGAGCAGAAAATTTGACAAAAAGACAGAAAACTATGAGAGAAGAGAGGGAATCAACTTTGCAGTCAACTTTGCTAAATCACTGAGAATTTCACAAGGGTTGCCAAGTGGAGAACAGCCTGTTCTGGGATCACCAGACAACTGCCTTCAGGAGCTGGAAGTTTTTGCTGTTGTTATTGCTCCTGCTTCCCCTATAATTATTACTATTCAGTATTATTATTGCTACTATTATGACTTTAATTTTAGAAAATTACTTTGAGAAACAGAAAACAGGATAGAAAATGCTTATACTTACAAAACATTTAAATATTTTAAAACATTCATAAATACCAATATCGTAAAATATTTTTCTGTATTTACTAGCTGCTCTGAAGGAGCAAAACATTGTAAGGTTTTTCCAGCCACTTAGTACAGACAGATAGGTACTGCAAGTTATTGCGAGTGAGAGAATTATTTTCTCCCTGTTTAAAAGAAGGGAAAACCATAAAAAATAGTTTGCTCTGAGTGTATAGCCCAAGACTACAGAGTCATTAGTGACTGGTACTCTGACTCAGCAGAACGACTCAAGCGAATGAGGATTATTTGTATGGACAAGGAAAAAGCCTCTTGTCATATTCAAAGCAAGGCTTTGTTTCAAAGCATATCTAGAGCTTAGCAGCAGTGAGCGAGATGTAGGGGAAGCAGGACTCCTCCTGCGCGGTGCTGAGCCCCGTGGGAGGGCTCAAGGCAGAGGCTGTGCAGCACAGGGGACAGGCAGGGAAAGGACCACAGGCAGCTGGGCTCTTGGTTTTTTAATAAAACCACCCATCTCCTGGCTTTTCTACCTATGCATAGGGTACTAGTTCCCGAGCCTTCCCCTCCTTGCACTTCATACATCCTCCATCTCACACTACAGATGCATCGAAATCCTGGCTTCTTATATCACCGGTTTTCCTTCAGGTGAAGGTCTGACAGCAATTTCAGAGAAAGGATGACTAACCCCACGTCCAAGGAAGGCGAGCATGGGGATCACGTTCTCCTGGGCGATGCACTGCAGGATCCTGGGTGCTCCGTACAGCCCTCCCATGCAGGAGGCCAGGGACGAGATGTACAGCCCTAGCAAAAACAAGAAACCCACCAAGGATACCTGGAGGAAGCGGAGAGAACACAAAGTTGATGATATTGTTCTTTAAAGACCCCCGAGCAGTCTTAAATACATGTATTTAAAGAGATCACATACATTTTGTAACATTGCTAAATGAACAGAGCGAGCCCTGGGAAAGCAGAAATTTAACTGGTCTGTGGTATAAAGTGCAAGCAATTAATACAGGAAAATTATCCCATAAAAGTAATTTAATACTGAACATCCTGTACCGACAGAGCCATTTGACAAGCTCATATCCAAGAAATTCTTTGTCACTTGGAGCAATTGCGGCAAAGCAGGAGCTATTAGATTCCCCTTAAGTAACTGGAAGTGAGTTTATTTCAGGAGAGATCACTTATATACAGAGCACATCATACAGGAAAAGCTGCCCAGGCTTCCAACCATCCAAAACAGGAAGACAAACCCCTGCGTCCCAGAGGGGAAAACCAATCCTGAAAGAAAATCCACAGTAAAACCAAATCAAAATTGCCACTTAAACAAATGGCATCTCAAAAAATACGCTCCAAAGGATATAATACAATAACCTTATTTTCCTGACTTCAGTGAGAAAAGAATTTCCTTTGGCCAACATGAAACTTAAAAAAAATCTTTAAAGCCACAGTGCTAACAAGGCTGGGTTTATTACCGGTTTCTAGCGAGCAGCCTTTCAAACGGGGAGCATCTCCTGCAGGCGTGGAGGGAAAGGAGGGCAGCTCATGGTCTATCACACAGAAGCGAGGACTGGGGCCCCCCGTGCATGTCCCCACTCTCAAGAGCTGCAAACACAGGCAGCATAGCTGAAAAAACCCACCCAAATACACAAAACCCCACAATATGAATGCTGTGCAAGAAAGCTTTGAAATGGGAGTGCTCCTGGTGCCATGGTGGAAGGACACGGGCAGACACAGCCAAAGAGACTAAGGTCTGGGGTCACCTGAGCCATCCCCGAGTCCTGCAAGACCACACGAGTCTGAGACCCAGCAGCCAGCCACAGAGAAATGCAAGGCATGGGGGGTGCCACCAGCACAAAGGCCAGGCAGGGAGAAAACCCCCAAATTTTGGTCCAGATCTGTCCTGCCCATACTCCACTGAAGCGAGGTGCTGAGGTGCCCACAGACATCCGTGGCAGGGTCGGCACTGAATGCACGTCCCCCGCGTCCTTCGCTCTCACCCCTCCTCTTGTGGAAAACGAGGTCTAAAAGAACACGGGTCTTCCCAGCTTCTGCCCCTGTTCAAATCAGGTGGCCCATGCTTTATTAGAAGGAATTACCAAAATTTACATGGCTAAAGATGATTCAAGTTACATCTGCCTTTTCCTCATCTATGAAATCCACATGCAGCAGAAAGGAGATTGGGTACAAAGCCATAAAATGCTTGCTGTTTGGGGAAGGCATGTAAAATTAATGTCATGGTCCAGAACCGCACAAACCTCCTACCACAACGTTTCTTCTCCCCATGAAAATCCACTTGGCCTTGTAAATTTTATCTTGTGGGACAGAAGAAACTTGAGAGAAAGATGAGCAGATATTCACTTCCATTAGACCAATGGACAGACACTCGATGGGGAACCTTCCCTTCCCTCTCCTCTAATCCTGCCCTGCTCTGAGAAATACTTGGAAGAAACAATCAGTTGTGCCAGACATCGTATATTATTTTAGCTGCCAAAAATCCTTGCATTTAAATGTACTACTTGACATTCAACTCAGGGTTAGAGGGGAAGAGTCCTTTTCAATGAGGCTGATGAAAGGGTTTGCTGGGGGTTTTGAGCACAGCGAGTGTGAATACTGTCTAAGAAATTGGCACTTTGAGCTCATTAGAAGTGAAATTACTGCGCCTCATTTTTACGTTTAAAAAGCCAAACAAGTATTGCAAGGGAGAAAAGCAGCCAAGCAGTCAGTCACCTGTGAGTGACAGAAAGGGAGAGTTTGGATGTGTAATGATCTCTCCCCCCTCCATCTCTCCAAACAAAGCCATTAAAATCTAAAGCAGCTTGTAATAACTCAAAGAAGCAACATGAATATTGGGATTGCACCATTCTTTTGTTCCATAGTAGGGAAAAGAAAACTGAATTTGCTTTTGGGGGGTTTTGTTTGTTCATTTGTTTATATTTAACATTATTAAATATCTTCATATTCTTTAATGGGAGATTTTTCATTCCCCTCCTCCCCCCCCAAGGGTTCTGAAGTTAAAACACAACTTTAATGATCTCTTTCTCTTCAGCTGATTCAGTTAAAGCTGATTCTTTTAGTTACTGTACTTTTCGCCCACTATGTCACTGACACACAAAGACATTGCCTTAAAGAAGGTAGGCTCATTCTTTTCATCCTGAAACAAAGATGATTTTTTACCTTAGCAGGAAGTGGCAGGAGCCCCACCAATAATTTGGAGTTTATTTTGAGGGTTGGAGGAAATCTAGAGCTACAGTTACTTAGAAGGAAAACAAAGCCAGGGTTTCAAGTTATATTTTAGATTAAAACAATGTTACGAAGCAAATAAATGGCAAACATCTCAATTTTAAGTTAATCACAAGAAATAGTGTCAAATATGGTGAACCCATGATTCTGCACAATGCTGAATAACAGAAAATAAGCCCTTCCATATCCCATTTAAAGTAAGACAATGGCACGCACCAAAATCTTTTGCTCTCTTTTTAAAGGCCTGCAGTGATAAGGTTCATTGCCTGTAACACTACAAACCTCCCTCGTGTATATACACCCATGTGGAATGTCTCGAGTTTAATAATCCTATTGCTCGCCCTGCAATTACAGCCTGCTAGATATGGAAATGTAAGCTTCGCTTGACTTAGTAAAGATAAGCAGTGGGGTTCTTTAGAGATTTCAATTTGGTCTAAGCTTTCACCAACGAGAATGGATACATTGAACAAAATACAGCATTTATCATTAGACCACATTAGCATATTTTAGCTCTTAAAGCTATTGCTGGGTGATTATGCCAAGATTCAGCATTACTGGATATGCTGGTGAATGCAAAGCTATTCAAACCAATTGTATGCTGGGATTTGCAATGGGGAAATCCCCCTGAATTTCAATGAGGGATGAGTACCCAAATTCCTTAGGCTTTTGGAAAAGTTCAAGCATTCAGTAAGGCAGATGACAACCTGAAAGCACCGTTATATAAAACCACGCTGGGTTATTCGAACAAGTTACCTTCTCTGCTATCATGAAGTCATAGCGGAGTGACTGACGGGTACAAATGGCTCCCAGCAAAAAAACAAAGACCATGTACAGAAACCACCTGCAAACAATAAAAATAAACTATATTTTTTTCCAGCAAGACAAGACCATTGACAATTCTCCCTATTAGCAGAGCCAGGAGATGGTCAAGTACCCAGTACAAGCTGGGTCTTCAATCACTCTGCATGGGCTGTTCCTGCATGATTTAGCCTCAGGACTAAATTTAACACCAGTCCACGTTACTTACCCACTACAATGTACCAGGGAGAGCTGCAGCATGACGGTACGGTACCCCTGAGGGGAAGCTACCTGCACTCTTGATGTGTGCATGGGGGGAATAACCCAGTCCTGCAGACAGACTCTTTAGTATGGCCTGTAGTGACAGGACAAGGGGTAATGGTTTTAAACAAAAAGAGGGTAGATTCAGACTCGGTACAAGGAAGAAACTTTTTACAATGAGGATGGTGAAACACTGGAACAGGTTGCCCAGAGAGGTGGTAGATGCCCCATCCCTGGAAACACTCAAGGTCAGGTTGGACAGGGCTCTGAGCAACCTGATCTAGTTGAAGATGTCCCTGCTCATTGCAGCGGGTTTGGACTAGATGACCTTTAAAGGTTCCTTCCAACCCAAACTATTCTATGATTCTGTGGTTCTGCAGGTACACAGGTCCCCTCATTTGGCAGCAACATTAAACACCACAGCCAGCCTGCTCTACAACATCAGTCATGATCCTCCTCTGGTGGCTCTGGCCTCTCCAGTACTCAGGTGGAGGCATAAGCTAGTCTGCCTGCAAAGCCCAGACAGCAGAGATATGAGTGACCACAGTCCATCCATCAGTGATACTTCTGTGTCCTGTGGAATCACCTCACTTAAAACAAGCACCAATTTCAGCAGGAATCCCTCTAAATTCTGAAGATCCTTGCTTTCTGTCTGAACCTTGGTATGCAATTAAAACTAATAATTTCAAAAGCAATTTATGTGGTAATGAAAGCAGGCAGGAAAACCTACGGAGGTCTTTTTAATATGGAACAGTATTTTATTCCTGGAAAGCAGCATTTCCCACAGGAGAGCACTGCTCAGGGATGCAGGGCTCCTGCATTCCCCTGGCCTTGCAGCAGTAGGTCACCTCACCTGTCTTGGCCCCATTTTCCCAATAACAAAAACTATATATTTTTTATATTTTGTATTTTTTATGTTTTCTATTTATATAGAAAAAGAAAGCACGTTGAAATCAACAGCAATAAGTGACAAAATCACACACCCCAAGCCTTTGAGCACTTTGCATCCCACTCTGGGACGGCCAGGCTGCAGCAGCACAACCGCTTTAGCACCACCACACATCCCATCCGGCGGAAGAAGGACTGATTACATCTGCATTGATGAACCTCTTCTCTAACCCACCCAGAGTAGGTGGTGGTAATGAAGGATAATTTGAATGTGAGCCAGACTTTAATTTTCCAGATGGCTGAGTAATAAAAGGTTGATGGGAATATGAAATGGATTGGTCACATCCAAGGCAGTCTCCAAAGAGTAAATTTTCCCCAATCTATGACTTACGAGGTGCCAATAGCAGCCAGAGACCCCAGGGGGATGTTGGTAGCAGGCTTCTGGAGATCTCCGCTCATATTGAACCCAGCCATCACACCTGTATTTTGTAGACATAAATGCAATTTAGAGTTAATCCACGTTATAGCATATATAATACATATTATAATATGTAATATAATTTAATCATCAGTTCGTTGATTGCTTCAGAACAGTAACTGTATCACTTCATTGCACTTCCACACACACGAATACTGGCTCCCATCAATTGCTTGGTTAAGAAACTGTTCCTGTCTTTAATAGAAGCAAGCCACCACTAACATATCTACAAAGAACCCTTTGTCCAGCTTGAACAATGCTGGGGGAGAAGGAAAAAAACAACAAAAAAAAGCAGAAATCTGAACAAAACCCATCTTATCTTAATGCAAACCTCGCAGAAGACAGTGTTGTCCAATTGTTGAAAAGAAAAATGCTACTGTTCATCACGGCAGCACATTCAGCAGGTGGTACTACCCCCCCCACCAGATCCATTACAGGTCCCTGCATTCATGGGGGACGACTGCCATTACAAAACGGCCTGTCCCGTCCGTGTTTAATGATGACCACATGCGCATTTAGCAGAGGGAATAACAGTGCTCAGCACGTAGGTGGCACCTTCCAGCCAGGGGATCTGCTTTGGAAGTAGGCATTATCTCTACTTTGCAGATAGGGAAACAGAAGCACTGAGAGGGCAAGTGATTGTCCCAGCATCACATAGAAAACACGTGGTAGGACTAAGAATAAAGTACTGAACTGTTATTTTAGGCCAGAGTACAGGGTATTGTACAATCAGGGACACTCCTTTGCCTAAAAAATTACCATCTAAAGACACAAGAAAGGGAAACGGGATGGAGCAAAGGATTACAGTCTCCACGTTGAGGCTAGGAACCCAAGGCACAAATTGGTCAAGAGGCTTTGCCCACAGTTGAAGGAGAAGTCATACCAGATTTGGCAAGAAAACACAACTTCTCTCGTCACGTTATCCCACAACTTTTCCTAGAAGATTTCAGATATCTGCTCTAAATAAAAAAAATAATTAAAAAATCCATGATTTAGAATCCTGATGCGAATTTGGACAATTTGAAGGCAGAACAGAAGAGCCTCTTTAAGACACTAACTTCTGCCCATCGCTGTCCCACCCCTCGGATGTCAGACTAACATCTTCGTAAGGACACGTGGGCCAGGTGCCAGCCAGCAGCGCCCGCGGGACGGTTCCTGGGAGCTGGGGTGAGATCACCACAGAACAACAATGAGAAGGAGGATGCCAACGCCACGGCGCTCGCAGCATCTGCCAGCCCCGGCAGCAGGGGACCGACCGTGCGTCAGTCTGCCGCTCGGCTGCCAAGTCCAGCAGCCACTCCTCATTTTCAGAGGGCACAAGAATGGCGAAGTCAGGCCGCAAATCTGAGTGACTACAGCCCTAAATCAGTGACAACCCATTGCATTTTAAAGCTCAAACATTGATTGCTGTTTGGGAGGGTTTTCTCCCAAGATGAAGGGTAGACAGGAGCCGTGGGACAAATCCCAGGGTAAAAGGGACAAACGCAGCTCAGCCAGATGGATGCCTTCCCTATACACCTTGCATGGCCACCAGAGGACTGCCAACAGCGAGCAACGGTTGGGTTGCTAATAGAGGAACAGGGGCTCATCTCCCTGCTCTGTCCCAGGCTTTGCTGTGCATTTTCGTAGCTCCATCTCCCCGTCTGCTCGATGGGAGTCGTAACACCTCCTAGCCTTGCTGTGCTGCCGCGAGGATAACACATTAATAAGCACAAGGCACTCGCATGTTGCCAAACACATTGGCTAAGCATCTAGGGCTTTATTTATGATTAATATTTTTCCTTGATAATTGTTTTTTTTCCTCTCGATCATTCCACTCGGCAGCCATCTCTTTCTGTCCTCCTCTCCACCACAAAGCCAGAGCCCCAGGAGCTGCTCCCTATGGGCTCCTGGCATTCCTCAGCTCCTGGAAGAGCTGTCTTCCAGATTCAGACCAGATTTGAATCCTTGACACCACACTGAAAACATTACAAATCAAAATGAGTTCTTAATTTTCTCCTGGAAGACTATTGTGTGGACGTACTTCTGAATAGCACTGCTAAAAGCCCATCAACTGGTATGCTTTTCCCCAGAAAAAGCTTCCAAGTGCTGTTCAAGCACTGCTCCTTTTAAACAGCTATACAATGGGCTTAGCTAGAGGTGAGAAAAGTTAGGAAGGCAGAAGTCCACGGAAATGGCCACAAACATCATGTTAAATGAAGTCTCTCTGAAGCACTCCTCGGTGACATGCTACTTTGCAATTCAGGGGCAAAGCAGAAATCAGAATATTCTGAATTTTTCTTCCAAAGGGAGCAAACTATTGTCAGAAGGACAGCTGTTAATCTCGTGTGCCTCTTGGCCAAGTTTCCCAAACATCTGGCACCACCTCTAAATCTTCCAGCTTGAGCTTGACTCACCTCTTCCTCATCCAAACTCCTGCCTCAGCAAAGCACTGGGGAAACACCAAAATGGCATTTTCTGGACTGAATACGAAAAAAGTTGAAGACGTGAGAGTCATCGGCACAGCGATGACAGCACAGCCTAGGCCGCCTCATTGCCTCCCTCCCACAGACCCACGCATACTCAGGAGCAGCCAGGAGATGACCTGCCAGAGCCCACATAAACGGGATTTGAGACTGATGATTGACCTCCTGCCCAGCAGCGACTCGGGGTCAGACTCAGGCCAGTCCACACCACTAGCTTCTGTCAGGACCCCCAGGAGGTCACTGGACTCTCATGGCTTCCACTGCCAAAGACCAAGGCCGCCACAGAGGGAACCAATACAGATATTCTCAGCCCCTCAGGCCAAAGCCACCTCCTCCGTGCTGCAACTATGCCTCTGACCTGACTACTACAGAAGTAGGGACAATCCGGTAGTACAGACATATGGACAGTGCCAAAGCCACCTCTCCACCACGACCCAAGAAGTAATTTTCCAGACAGGATAACAGCTGCCAAAGAGCAGTACCGAGAAGGTCTTCTGCGAGCAGCAAACTAACGACCCCACCTTTTAATGAAAGGACAAACTGATTAATTTAAAAAAAAAACCCTAAACAATCTCCACCATCCATAGCCTCAGTCACCCCCTGCCAGAGAACTGGTCTGACTTGTGAGTAGCCACAAACAGCCTTTCCAGAGACTCTAGCTACTCAACAGAAGAAAAACCCTACACTTGCATATAAAATTCAACAACGTAGAGAAGTTGGGACGTTCCTTCCTCCAGGCACAGACCGATCCCTAGGGAAATGGCCAATCCCTTCTGAACTCAAGCAATCATATCTGCAGATTGTCCACGGAGAAAATTATCCACCTCTCTGTTTCAACGAGATAGCAGGCTGGATTTTCCACACTGGCTATTATCTCAGAGAGCAGCAGATAATGACAAAGCTTCTGGACAAGGAAGCATGAAAACACGGTCAACTCAGCCAGGAAATTATGGCTGAGACAGTCTGTACATTGCTGCTATTCCCAGCATAATCCTGTCCTGGGCATCATCCAGGTGGTGGATATGTGCATGAGGGGACCACCTACATTGTACATTAGACACAACCATCAGCTCCACCAGCTCTGGCTTCAAACTCCACCAGCTATGGCTTATAACTGTAGATATGAGCGCTTGCAAACACCCATTGCATTTTCCAGTGAATTTACTATAAAATATAAAAGGTTTTTTTTTCCTTCACCCAAGAGATGAAGAATGGAAAATCTTAGATAAGAATTGTAGCTAATTTTTTAAAAGGGACAAATTCTCCACTGATGTAAGCTGGCACCTCTCCACAGACTTCAATGGAGTTGTGCCAGTTTACATCATCTGATAACTTAGCCCAAAACTTCTAAATCTATTTGCTGTCATTTTGCAAGCGCCAAGTACGGTTTATTTCAGAACTGGTTTCAGTACAATGATATTTTCCACTAACGCCACATCAAACGTTGTTTTACTTTCTTGTATCACATGACAACACACTTCTTTCATTAGACAGAAAACCTTGGGGATTTAGTAGAAGAAGAAAAACATTCTCTGCACAACAGAAATGATGTTTAACTTCATTTTAAAAATGCATTGACGGTTGCATGGCTGCTGCTGGGAGCTGAACATGGGCAGGCAGTTCCCAAGACTTCTTCCCCGTGCAAAGCCCTGGTTAGATGGGTAGCTGGGTGTTTGCATATCACAGTGCGGCAGCAAAATGTCCATTAAGAAGGTATTTACAAACACACAGAAAAACATCTGGGTAATGCACAGAATCTCTATAGGGGTATGTTCACAGCTTCCGTAGCAAGTACGTTAGTCTTTTTGATTGAAGCCGGCAAATCTGACTCCTCCATGCCCATGCGCTCCCATTTAGGCCAGCTCTAGATATATGTTTTGGATCACTCATCTACTTCTCTATTATTAAATGACAAAACTTGGGGGAATAAAGCCAGCTGCACCGCACATCCAGCTGAAATGCTTTAAACAGCTATTACCCAGGAAGCAAACGGACCAGCCTCTGCTTACCACCGCTCAACCATAAAACCGGGATAACTTCATTCACGTTGCTGGACTCGTACCAATAAAATACAGAGAAACAAAGAAAACAACCCGACCTGGACTAAAACAATCCAAGGAGGATGCTCGTAGGAGGCAGCATGTCGCTACCAGTCTACAGAAGGCTGGGACAATCATCCCCTCCAGCCGAAGCACACACCCAGCTGCTTCTTCTGCCCATTCGGTCCCAGCAAAGGTCTCCCCACAAGTCCTGCTCCCCTTCCCCAAAGTGGCTGCCCCTCTTTGCTTTTACAGCTGCCAGCCTGTATTTCTGACGTTTCCGTTTCACTGCTATTTCTGGTGGAAATGGGCAACTTAAAACCACTTTTCACTACATCCCAGAGACTAAACTTAAGCCAGTTGAATTCAGATAACCATTTAAGAGAGAGAGGAAAGAGCTTATCCTGAAGAGATCAAAATAGTTTCACTTCAAAGAGGAACATTTCATCTCAGAAAGGACCAAACATCTTGTTTCACAATTTCCTAAACACTTTTTTAAGAAACTTCGTTATCAAAAGAGCATCTTAGATTGTAAACTAGCATATGCTAAAAATTAAAAAGATTTAATAATTAAAGATAAACAGAACATTGCTTTGGGTCAAAGAAATGTTTCAAACTGGCTCGAAGTAACCCCTGAAAACTAAACAACATATTGTTTCACTGAACTCTCCCTGAATTTCTGTTGCATCTTAACGCAAAGGATTTTGCTTCCAGTGCTTTGGCCAGGTCACTGGGGGGGTTCCAGCAGAGGTGGGTACCGCTTGGGGATGGTGCTGGGCAGGAGCACAGGCTGGAGGTGACAGCCTGGGAGTGACGTTCACGTGTCCCTGCTGCTCCTTTTCATGCGGAGGTGCTGGGGACCGACGCTGCCACTCGCTCGCAATCTGCATCACGCTGCCTGCCCTGCATCAGAGGTGCTGGCAATCCTGTCGCATCTCTCCAGCCTGCTATTAACGCCGCTGCCAAACCCACCCCTGAAATGTCACCTCCGATCTCGCGGACCGCCAGTCCCACTGGCGGGCTCGGGCTGCGTCCAGTCAGCGTCCGTAACGTGGTGGGAAGCAGCTCGGCTCCAGCACGTGGGACCCCGAGAAACGCGGGGTCCCGTCTGCAGCCCTAGCATCACAGCCCCATCGGGGGGGAGGAGGCGAGCTAAGCCAGCGTGGGTCAGGCAGGACGTGGGGGAACCAGCTCTCACTCATCGCCCCAGTCCTAGGAGACGTGAGCTTCATTCCCAGCACTTCTGAAGTTGCACTGGGCTCCCCGTTTGCGATCTGCAGCAGAGAAGTCTTGCGTCCCACCCTAAAAATTTCTTAATCAGATAACAAGTTCTTCCATGTAAAGCACCGAACACAGCCCTACGTTTTATGAGGCTCCTGAACCCTGCAGTGCTCCAAACAGCAATAATAGGAGCAAGAACAACGTTGTACGGTACCACTGGCACCGCTACTCCGAAGGAATAATTCAAATCCTGTAAATAACCAAGCAATTAAAAAGAACGCATGAAAAAGCTGTGCAGCAACCAAAGTAATTATACATCATCCCAAACTGTATTTTCAGAGAATGTTTAACATTACTACTGGTATTACTACTGCTAACTAACAAAGCAACAGGCTGCCAGGGCTTTAAATAAATTGTATCTATTAGCTTTGGCATTATTCCTAGCAGCCAAGCACTAGCAGTGATGAAGAACCATTTAATATGGTTAATCACGGTAATTTTCTGCACAGCTTTCTCATAACTATTCCTTCTTCTACAGCCAGGGAGCTGGAAAAAACTGCTTTCCTGCATCAGAGGCATGGCTCACAGGGAAGGTCTCTTTCTTTAGCTGGGGGACTCACTTGGACCAGCCAGAAATGACAAAAAAGAGGGCAGAAGCCAACTTCTCCATGGTGCCAACAGTTCAGGCAGGTGAGTTTTCCAGGAGGAAGTCTACATGGAGGCAACAGCCAGCCTGATAAGCTGGGAGAGAGGATTTCAAAGGAAAATTTGAAGTCCTGCACTAGGTGCACCTGACAAAGGGACTTCTGCTACCAGACCATTCCTCCAGTCCCATCTGTTTCACAAAACCCTTTAGTTTGTCTCCCTGCACCGCAGCAATTCTGCGAACAACTTGCAGCGAGTTGCTTAGAGCTAATCCTCTGAAAATTCATTCTGTAAGCCAAGGATTCATCGCTATGGAAACTGCTTATAATCGGTACTTTTTATAGCTTAAAAAACCCAGCATCAACAAAAGGTATTGTAATTCCAACTGATAGTTATTTCATTCCCACTGGAGACTGCCAGCTTTGGAAAGGGGACATGGATCTTCCTAGTAATTTAAGGGAATGAATAATATGAAAGCATCCAATGAAGCTCATAAATGTGAACTCTGCTGACATGCAAAGATGCACCTGTGACACTGTGAAGAGAGTGGTGGGTCAGCACCATGAGCAATGGCATCGGTGCAGCTTGGCCACCCACCCGTGGTAAGGATGGAGGGAAAGCCCTCCTGTGCTCTTCCCACCCTCCCACTGCAATCAAGTCATAAGGCTTATCTAATAAGATAAATCATGATCAGCGCTTTTAAAAAGGCTTGATACCTTGTGGCCTGACAGCACTGGCCAAGATCAGTGCCTGAGCCTTGTCCTTGGCAGGGAGGGATTTACACCACCACATCAACCCATAGAGTTGACCAGCAGTTTCTGACCACAGAGAGACAGAAGAGCACATTCAAGTGAACAGGACAGGAGTGTGCAAAATTTGAGATGCTGGAGGAAAGCCTGAACGTTTTGAATTGACCACGAGTCTGCTATGGCCAAGTACGGTCCCACTCACCTCACCTCACCTCACAGCCCAGAGGAACTTACCTTGCTTCTGCTCATCTCCGAGATGTGACTGTGGTGGGAAAGAAGGGGAGGATAAAACTTAACTGTACCTGTGGCAGCTGGGAAAAACACTCCAAAAACAGTGAAGAAGGACTCCCCCTGGCTGTAGTCCGGCAGTGTGTTGTTGAACATAAGCTCTTCGGAGTAGCCGACGAAGCCGTGCTCTGCAAAGACACGGAGGGCGAGAGGAGAACCTCAGAAACCACAGGGGCTGCAGGAGACCCTCCAGCCTGCTCTCGGCAACCACCCGTCCTCTAAACACGTGTGACAGCAGCGGCTGTTTCCAGAGATCGTTTGAAAGGATGAATGTCAACTTATTCAGTGGGGGGAGAAGGCAGAGAAGAGATCAGTGTGGTTACAAGGGTGCAAATGCCAGAGAAAGGTGCAGCAGTGCAAGTCAGCATGTCGAGAGGCACCACCAGGCTGGGCAGCTCTCGCCAAGCCAGAACATGGATCGCACTGAGTCCTGTCTGCGAGCAAGCAGGACATCTTCCTGTAAAACCTGTCCATGGAGGAAAGCTGGCTGCAGGGATCTGCTAATATTTATACTTATTTATCCATGCCACTTTAAACTTCTTTCCAAATAGAGCAAAATTATGCTGCCATAAGACAACTGCATCCCTGAGCAAGATCTCGCACCGTATCCCAATTCTGTGTTTCTGCCAGTCAAGCTCCTGCACAGACAAGACCTGAGATGTGCCCATGCTGTGAAGCTGCTACCGACACACCCAGTTTATACACTGGTTGCCAATGAGCCCAGAGCCAATAAAGCCAGTTTGTTGCAGGGTGGGCTCTCCCCTGCAAGATGGGTTTCCCAGTGGAGGAGGAATAAGGTGCTCTAAAACCGCCCCCTGCCGCATTGTGCACTTACCCTCCTGATGCCATTGCTCTCCCGTTGCCATGTTATCATCTTCAAACCAGGGCTGCGCATCACAACCAGCCGCCCCAATCCCAAATCTTCTGCAGATGTTTATCACAGTGCAACAAGGAGCAAATGCTCAGACCCTGGGCTGTGCCCCGCTCCCCACACCGACTTCTGCCAAGTCTTTCCAAGGTCATACACACGCAAGTTTTACTTTCCAAACAAAAAGTTTCACAGAAGATGGGAGAGAGGGGAAAGCAATGGGTAGGATATCAATGTCATGCAACTGGTTTACTGGGTATGTAATGGAGGATCCTGCTTCCTCACTTCACACTGGAAGGACAGGTCAAATTCTTCCACAAACCTGGATTTGTTAGGAATAGTTGAGCCCAACAGCCGACATGCCAGCAGGACATTAATTAGGAAAGGTTTTAGATGGTTATAAGTAGAAAAGATAAATCATGAAAGCAGGTTAAGGAATTAATGATACGTCTATGAAATTAATAATTTTATTTTCAACAGGCAACACTGCTTTTTAATGGAGTATCTTAATCTGTGGAAACTTCTCCTCCCTGTCAGTAATCCAAGTGCTCATGCCAGCTGGGGGTGGGAGGTGAGCAAAGTCGGTTCCTTTTTTTCTCCTGCCACTACGACCTATTTCCACAAGACATGTGACTGCAATAACTTAAATTTTCTCATTAGCAGGCAGGATGTTGTTTATGGCTGCACAGGGTGATGGCCAGAAATTAAAAAAAGACTCCATCAAAGCTGTCCCATGCCTCAAAGACAACATTAATGATGTTTGGACAATAGATTAAACCGGAAAATTAAATCAGAGCTCTGAACGCAAGACATATCCATTTAAAGTCTCAGAATATAACTAACCACAGAGCTTTGAAGTTGCCACAGAAAAATCCTATAGATAATCAAAAGTTTCCTACTACATCTGCATTCATTGTGTTGCCCAAACATGGATGGAAACACACTGATAGAAGAGGTCTCCTGCTGCTAGGCTTTTTAAAAGCACCAGATATCTTCACTAGGAACAAGTCCCAGACGAGATTTAAAGGGAATAAGCTCAGCGCAACACACTGACCTCTGGACCTCACAGATGTCTGCAGAAAGTGCAGCTTCTGGAGAAAAAAAGGGGGGATTTGTGTAGCCTGTACGTTCCTGAGAGACCAGACCTGAGTTCCTTCAACTGGAATTCGTGTCCAAAATGGCTGGCTGCAAAGTTCCCACCAAACTGCTTGAGGAAAATTTTGGTCCCTGGCCAAGGGATTTTTCACAAAGTATGTGCTCCTCACAGAAATGTTAATGATTCATTAGTAAAACAAAAGGAGCTGGCAAAATATTCATCTTGCTCCAAGGAGATCTGCAGACCTTCTCCAACTTGTGCTTTTCAGCAGCAGCATCAAATTTATCTATGTCACTCTTGACCAAAGTTTGCCCCACCAGTTCTCAAAAATCTCCTGTGAAGTGGACTCTAGCCTCTCTTGATGGTTTACTGTCATATTTTCCTGTCTTTATCATTTAGGTTTCCCCTACTGTCTGACCAAAATCACCCTGTTTGAAGTTCATGATGCTATTTCTTGCCTGATCCATAAGCTATTTGCATATTTTAAAATAGCATCCTTTCACCTACTGGAAACAGTCCCCAACCTGCACTGGTGCAGCTGACAGCTTCTGCCAGGCTGTAAAACTTTATGTTTGTCTTCATTAAACCACAAATCATCCTTTTCACACCACCTCCCCAGCTTGTGCAAAGTCATCTGGAAGTCTGACCCTCTCAGCCAGGCTGCTGCGAGCCCTTGCCAGCTGGGGGTCATCTGCAAATTGAATCTGCATATTCTTTTTCCATCATCCAAGCAGTTAAGGAAAATACCAAATAACACCAAACCAAACCAGACCCTTGCAGAACCTCACCAGGCACAGCGTCCTGCTCTGCAAGTGAACCATCTCCAACCGCGGTCTTCCAACTGGGTTTTGGGGCTATTCAACGATAGGCTGATCCAGGTACTTTGGGTGCCTTATGTCTCCTTTCTCATCCAAAAGATCAAGTATACAACCAGACTACATTTTCTGTGATACCGTTTTGGCCATACCATGGCCAAAGAGAGACTGTGAGACCCATGAGTCCGACGTCTGACCTGCAGCTGTGTGCATCTGATTCCTATTAATCTTAAGAAGCCAAACGATCTCTCATGCTCCATCCATTCGTCTGCTCTTCCCTTTCCTATTTTATTCCCTTAAGCGTAAATCCTGGGTGGAAGAGACAAAGCCCAAAACCATGGCAGATGTCACTGGAACCACAGAAAATGACGGCCGTGGATTTGCTGAAAGAGCCGCAGGATGCGCCTACCACTCTATCCCACTTCTGCTTCCTTTCCTCGCGGCTCTGGCGGGCAAGAGGAAACCCGGCCATTCCACATTTCCCCTTTATACAGAACCAGAAGCTTTCTTGTCTAATTCAAGAAAAGTTCATCCAAATGTTACTTGCCATTGCAATCTCATTTCTCAGTCAATCACCCTCCCGTGAAGCAAATCTCATGTCCTGTTTGATCGGTTTTACACCAGGATTTGCCATCGCCATCAATTCAAGCAAGCTATCGGCACACGACGGCGGAGCTGAGAACAACACACTGTGAGCATCTCCTGGCTGCCCTCGTGCCTGCGACCGGAGCGAGTCGTCTGTGACCCTTCAGCTGTCATATTAATGGGACTAATTGTAGCTGACGGGGCAATTGGGCTGAAAATCATCCAAAACAAAACAGGAATCAGCAACTGAGACCAATCGGTTAAACCAACAGAGCACTCGGTCGGTTGTTCACAGAGTCAATTATCCACATCCCATTGAAAGTGCACTTCAAAAGGACAAGCTTCGGAAGGAGGAGGGAAGGAAACACGATAGGGTCTATATTTGGCTCTCTGATCTCCAAACAAGGCAAGATCATTTTATTAATTTTTTTTTTTTTTTGTGAGAGGATCTTTTCCTCCAGCTTACTGCTGGGTACATGAGATCCAAGCCAGATTCCTCCCTCCTCGCTCATTACAAAATGTTTGTCTGACAAATTTTGCTCTCAATTAATTTATGCAACTCCACAGCCTCTAAATCCTGCCTTTAACGATCCTGCTCTCGGCTGGCTTGCAGAGGGCTGAAGCGCTATAAACAATCTTCCCAGTGTCATGCTAGAAGGAAAAGAATCCAGTTCCTTCTCTGTGCTGTCTCAGCCTTATGGGAAACGCACAATAAAGAGTGGTAACAATTTATTTTCATCATTAGATTCTCAATAAGGAACAGGCAAATAATGGGTTTCTCAAGTGGTTGAGCTGAAGTAAATAAACAATAGGGAAAAAAATTGACTTAGAGCAACATCTGAATTATTCCTGTGTTTTTTGACAAATTAAGTCCTTCCAGTGGCGCTTATTAAAATGATATAATAATTAAAAAAAACACAACACCTAGCAAGTTTCAAATGGAAGAGCTTCCAGGATGAGCACCTTCCATTCATAACCACAGGGGGACTTCAGGGGGCTGCACATCAGCCTGATGCAGGCAGAGGAGGAGGAGGAGGAGAAGGAAGATGGCCAGGATTCTCATGTCCCCCCCAGCCATCATGGATGCTTGGGAGGAAGCACCAGCCTTCGCCTGGTTGCCACCACTGCATCCCTGCTCTGCCCCCAGCTGGTTTCCACATTTGAGCTTTTCTTGCACTTTCTCCCACCTCTCACCCCGTGGAAGAGGATAAAAGCAGCCGAGGAGGTTTTTGGCACTTGGGACACACCTTAGCAGGGCGGCCCCTCCATGAAGCCCGGGGTTTCGGAGCAGGATTCAAGGAGGTTGGAGAAGGGGCGAGAGGCAAAGCCGTGGTTACACGGGGTCAGACCATTATGCAACGGCACAGAGGACGACGGCGCTGCCAAGTTCCAGGCAACCTGGAGCTCATTACAGATTAGTCAACTCTTGGCCAAATTCAATAAGCCTGTTCACAAGCTTAAGGTTAAGTAAACCCTGGCACCGAGGCAGGGGCTAAATAATGCAAAAATGGAAAACCACCTTAAGAAACAGCTCCCAGAAGACGGTCACGTATTGCACTCTGCTTGTGATTAGAGATTTTAATTATGAAGGTGAATGCTGAAGGCTTGAAATGGTGAGATTTTTACTTTTCCTAAACAAGTAAGCCCACACGTTCCTGCCTGGAAGGTACTTGCTGAGATTTGCTTTCAGAGGAACAGCTGGAAGTGTTTGTCTTGCAGCACATTTCCCGGGTCTGACCCCAGAATTTTCAGGATCCTATGTGA